GAAAGAGTGCATTCCCATCTAGCACAGACCCCAGGTGGGAGTAAATGAGGGCCCAGACCAAGGCCCCCACCCACATCCATACACACCCAGTGCCAACACTGCTCAGATGCAGCTCAGACAGGCCAGGATATCAGGAGAGAGGACAGGCACTATAAGCATGGTAGCAAGTTGAAATTCAAGCCACTCTGGATGCTCATTGCCCCTTCACCCTCCAGTGGGGCTATGCCTGGGGTTACCAGTGCTCCCTGCTGCTGCCTCAGAGTGTACTGAATCCCCCATGAGAGTGCAGAGAGCTGCAAGCTAGCCAACTTCCCTGCCCCTCTTGTCACTTGTGTATTGCCCCTGGAGGCAGAGGCGCTACCTCCTGCTGCCCGCAGGGGTTGCTTCAGTCTGTGCCTGCCCCCACCCTCACTCAGGGGACTGTAGGCCCCTAGGACCCACACCACAGCCTGCTTGGGTGTGGAAAGCAACGTGTTTACAGCCCTGACCCTGCCGTGCTCTGGGCACAGCACCCAGGGGACCCGTGTCTCTTGCTCCATGTGCTGCACACGCTCGCAGCGACGGTGCACGACTTACTGCCTTATTCCTATGGAACCCTGCCGCTGAACTGTGCAGCGAGCGCATAATGTTTACACTAGCAAATGTTTTCCGCTGCCTGTCCGTGCAGGCTGGACTCCCCTGGTGCTGTCCAGGTCCTCCCCAGGTGGAGCCTTTGACCTGCTGGTGGTGACGGAGAACATCCTATTCTCAAATACATTCCATAGTTTGCGGCTGGTGAGGGGGCCTCATGACCTTCTGGCCTGCTGCTTGGTCAAAGCCTAAACATGGGAAGGGGAGCCCCCACCTCAGAAATGATTGACCAGCCCCAGCCAGAAGGGAGTGAGGTGTTTTGGCAGTGGAGAAAGCCTCAGAGATGGGCACATGGATACAGCAGCTGCCCAGCACCCTGCCTGTTTCCAGATTCAAAGTGCTTTCATGGTGGGCTCAAGCCAGGTGTGCAGCCAAAGGGCTTCATGCAAAAAAGAACCCTGTCCTCACCCAGAAGCACAGGTATGGCAGGGGCAGACACCCCCACCTGTGCCTATGCCCCCGTTGCTCATCTTAGTGCCATGCTGCCTTCAGGTACAATAGTTTGTCTCCACTGTTTTTTCAGGCTGTATGTCCACAGGGCCTGGGTCTTCAGGTATGACACTGGTCCCTGCATATGTCTATCTTTGGCTGATGGTTGTACCCATCCCACTTTGTGACCTGCTGGTATCAGAGCTGTTGGTCACTGCTGAGATCTGTATGGGGGCTTGTTTTCTGATTGGGTTCCCAGGGACGCACGTTCTTCAGGAGGGCTTGATTCATGTGGGTGCTGTCTGTCGGCTGGAGGGTTTATTTCAGTGCAGGGGACTCTGCTTCTCAAGACTACGTTGCCATTGTGGGTGCAGGGAGACCTGTCCCCAAAGCACCTTGGGCTGGGTCCAGCTGATATGGGCAGATTGTTTCTGAAACCGTAACCATTAACTCTCAGAAGCCTGGTGCTTTGCAGCCTGCTTCATGGAGGGGAGTACTGACTCCTCACCTTGGCAAGCTCTAAGTTTACTGGGAAACACCTGTGCCAGGCTTGGCATGATCACTGTGCTGCTGAGCGAATGCAACCCCTGGCTCTGTCCCCCGCCAGCACATGACTTGGGGGAGAGGCCTGGATCGCCCGCCAGATGCTGCTCCTGCCCCCACCCACTGGTGACACCCTCCTGCTCCATCCCTGGGACTCTGAGCCCATGACAGGAATTCACCCAACTGCCAAATGCTTAGCTAGTGCCATGTGCCAAAAACGAGAGAGCAGCAAAGCTGTTAGCCTTGGGTCTGGCCTCGGTGGCATCGTGGGGAGGCTGCAAGCTACTGCCTCCAAGCTGGGAGTGGCTGGGGAAGGGGGATCCTCTGCCCTCCCTGCTTCTGGAGCGCTGTAGTTACCTAGTCGTGCTGTGGATTGTAGTGCTGTGGCCTAGGCTCCGAAGAGCATCTGTTTGGGGTTTGCTTTGTTTCCTCTCCTCCGCCCGGGCTGTGGGCAGGGAGCAGAGGCTCACAGACTCCTGCCTCGGCCCTGTAAAATTGTACCATGAAAGCGCCAGATTGGAAAATAAAAAACTCTATAAAACCACCCTGGGCTCCATGCGTCATCTGCTCTGGGGTCGGGTGGGGTTGTGCGTTGTCACGGCCTGGGGCAGCTGGACCGCAGCATGCCACACACTGGGCAGGAGGGAGGACTGGGCAAGGACCAGAGGGCATGTCCCTGGCTCTCTGGTATCCCTGCAGAGTAGATGAACATGGAGGGTTTGGGGTTTCGTGTGTTACTGTGCCTGGGACTCAGTACCACCTGTGGAGAGGAGGGAGGCCTGCGTTGCTGCTCTGAGCAATTGCCCCCTGATTTTCTGAAGGGGTGCTGATTCCTCCTGCACCAAAGAGGGCTGTGGGTATGGCATGGGGGGCAGTGTGGGCATGGGATTGTGCCATGGGTGTGAGTGGATGGGGCAGCCTGGGGGAGGGGTTGAGCAAACCTTGGGGTGTGTGACATGGGGAATGGGGTCCGCTGCAAGCAGAGAGGTGTTCTGTGCTTAGAGGAATATTCACAGTCCACAGATGACACTGGAGTCTCCTCTGGCCATAGATACAATCCCTACCAGCCCTGTTTGAGCGCCAGTCCCCAGTCAGATCAATACTGACCTCTGGCTCTTGGCCAGCTAGCAGCTTCACTGCATTGGGGTACTCTTGTTGGCAAAGCAGGGCCCCTGAATGTGGCACACATCCCTCACAGCTTGGGAGATGATTTCATGGCCTCTTGATGTCAAAGGGCTGGGAGGGAGCTTAGGGCATTGGGTGGGGGGGATGGACTTTTCTCCTTACAGAAACCTCCAGCACCTTGAACTGGCCAGCTCAGCCCCATAGCAGCCAGATGACTCTAGTGATGCCATCCTCAGGTTTGGGATGAGGGTTTGGGCACAGGGCTCATTTCTAGAGCTCGTTGTTCATTGTCCTGGTTCGTAGTGTTCGTGAAAACACTGGCCAGGGCCACGTCGAGTCAGGACAGGCACTGTGCCAATGTGTCTCAGCCCTGCTTATCCTGGGACTGTACTCATGGTGCTGCTCAGGTCCTGAGGTGCTGACCTGCAGCCCAGGCCTCTGGAAGTGGTGGTGAGTGACCTAAGATAATGGGCCCGTCACGGGGAAAGGAGCTGCCATGGGTAACCACATTCCTGTTGCCTGGTTCTAAGTCACTACATCCTCGTGAGCCAAGGAGGAGGAGGGCAAAAGGCTGCTCTCTCCCCACCTGGTCTCACCCCGGTGGCAAGTGCAGTTGTTTGACCCTTTATGTTGGTTTTATTCTGCCACTTTTGGTGGGTCCAAAAGAATCTCCTGGGGCAATGATTGATCAAAGTGGCAGTGGCATCGTGCTGTAATTAAACCACAGTCCACTGATAGCGGGAGCCCAGTCAGTGCTTACAGGCCCCCCCCTTCCCCGAGACCAATCTCCACATGAAACCCTGCCTACACCCTCCGCTGGAACAGAGGAGCCTGCCTCTGGGGGAAAGGAGAGCGAGCCCTGGACCCGAGAGTGAAGGTTGCTATTGATCAAAGAGCCAAGATGCCAAGAGCCAGAGGTCGGTATTGATCACCATGTGATTACAGCCCCTGGCTCCATCGTCACTGGAACAAGGGCTGCCATGCCCCACCCTGCCCTCAGCCACCCAAAGTCAGGCTGGCTGCGGCCGCAACTCCTCAGGGGTGACCCTGTGAGGGCCATGCTGTTACCCCGGGCCCAGTCTGTGCTTGTGTGAGGTGACTCAGGCCCTCTGGAAGTATTTGCTATTTTTGGAGATTTCTAAACTCATTGCTGAGTTCTCATGGTGCTGTGCTCCCCCGCAGGCCTCCTCATGCACCTCTGGCCTGCTCTACAGCTCCTGGACCCTTACATGTTGCTCTGCTGGTGCTTCTTGATCCTGCCTCCAGCCCTTTGCTTCTCTGGAACTGAAAAGCCTCCTCCATAAGCAAGTCTAGACTAGTGAGCAGCTCCCTTTGAACAAGTTTCTCAGCGTGGAAGCCCCATCCTGCCTCTACCCCTTTGGCATGGGTCACTCGGCCATGTGCTCCGATGCTGGGCAGCCTCAGGCCCGTGGCTCGGGTCGCTGGGTGTGAAGATCAAGGCGCCTGCTCTGGGGTTCTCCATGAGGCTTACACAAGGAGCAACCCCACATGCAGAGCACGTCTCTTCTCTCTGCATCAGACAGCATCTCCCCAGATAATGAGGACAGCAGAGATCTGGGAGAAGAGGTGGTGGGAGTGTAGGGGCTAAGGAGGTCCAGACTCAGTGGTCTTTGGGGCTTGGATGGACGAGTGAGAGACAAAGTGAGAGGCCTGAGGAGAAGACCACAGAGGCCACATTGTGGGGAGCCTAGGTGGGAGGACTTCTGAGCAAAGGCCGGGGAGAAGTGTGGGTGGATCCTGTTTCATCTTCAAAGCCACCAGTGGGGAGGAAGGCAGAGCCCAAGAGACGGAAGGTGAGAAGAGGAGGAAATAACGATAGTACTGGCAATGCGGGGAAGAAAGCAAGGAGGGGAAAGAGCAGGAAGGGGAGATAAGGAGGCTGTAAAGGGCACCGAGCTGTTATCAGCACACTCGGCAGGAGCCCCTTCTGTATATTTATGGCACACTTTTTCTCCAGGTCAGTGACAGATAAGGGAAGGAATGGCTATGCTGTGCGTGGGAGGAGTCCCGGTGCTAGTGCCCAAAGCCTGGCCCTGTGAGCCCAGACAGTGAGGTGACCCCTCCTGGGCCAGGCACTGCCAGAGACTCAAGAACATGCCCGGCCCAGAGCAGGGAGTGCCCAGCTCCCAGCGGAGCGGAGGGTGGGGGTTGTTTTGCTTTGTTTATAAAATATACATATATACACATATCAGTCTCTTACCAAAACTCAGGTTTGCCA